GTATTCCTTCAGTTGCACGTCTCCACTCAAGTAGGACTCTAACGACAAATCCCCGTGGCCTTCACCCACTGCCACCGCTTGGGTACTCTCCTGGCTTCCGTGGCATTTACTAGCACAACTACAGATATAATATGTAGTACATGTGTGTATATATATAATATTATATGGATAATATAATGCAGCATATATGACGGTCATGTATTTGTACATAATATAGAATATGTTTATCGTATTATATAAAACATATTTCATATAATATATAATTATGACTATTATTAATTATATACTATATAATATTATATATCTTACACATATGCAATGTATATTATATATAACATCATATACTATATAATACATATTGTACATATATAATATGATCATTAAAAAAAAAATGAGGAAAGAGGAAAACTTCCTGGGCTCCGGGCATTGCTCGGTCCTCACCACATTTCTATCCAGTGGACGTTCGCATCCGCACTTGGCTGCACAGAGATGTTAAGACACTTGCTCGCTGGATGCCACAGAGTTTTCATACATAGTTCTGTCTCGAAGTCCCCCAGATTGTCTTCTTCTTCTGTTTACTGTCGTAGACAGACCTTAAGCTCACTGCTACTTTTCCTGACTTAACAGCCCAAACGGGCTCGACGATCTCCCCTCTCCACCTTGTCCCTACCCTGCCAAAGCACACTGCCCGAGATAACACTCCTCCATCCTCCTCCCAACCCTCCGACAGCTCTCCGTGTCCTAGCAGGACATTTCAGGAGACCCTACGAGTAACCTTCAAGTCCTCAGCCTCTTGGTCCCTCCTCATATCCCACAGACCTGAGTGCCGCACAGAGCACAGCCACACCGGAGGACTGTCTAGCCCCTGCACCGCGCGCGTTCTCCTCTGCTGCATCCCTGCCCACACGCCCTCTTCCTCAGCTAGGCGTCCCGCTCCCAGCTCCCATGCCTGCCTGCTCGAACCCTGCCTGTCCTCCAAAGATGCAGCCTCCTCCACACAGCCTTCCTAAAAGTCTTCAGTCAGAGTAACCTCTTCCGTGCTCACCTAGAACTTGACGTATTCCCGTACTTATATCTTACCAGACCCTGCCTAGCACATTTTTTTTTTTTTTGCACATAACCGTGTCTTCTAGACTGCAAGCTCCTCCGGGCAAGGACGATGCCTTCATGTCGATTGAAAAGCTCCTCTCTCTAGCACAGTTCTTAACACGGAGCAGGTACCCAAATGCTCCAGGAAATGATTAGTAGAAAGGCAGCAAGAACTTCTCCCACTGAGAAACTTTACATATAATTTTCACCTGTGGTGTGAGACACAGGTACCCAGGGAAAGAAGAGGTCCGTTAAACGGTAAACCGCATTTCAGTTACTAACTCTAAACTTAGCAACTGAACATTTCTTGTCAAAGTCAGGCTACCAGTGGACTGAAACGGGTACCCTGCCTTCTCCTTCTTCCTGCCATTCCCTGGTAGAAGCAAAGACACGAATGAGCACACTGGAAGTAAGAAGTGTGGATAACTACATGATCACAGCTGAGTAGCCGGCTGGCAAACAAATTAAAGTATTACAAACTCAAGAATGAAAGACACTCTGTTCTTTATCACTTTCATACGTGGTAGCTCTACAGCAAGTAAAACAACACATCCGAGAAGATGATGATCTCTTAAAAACAGAAATCATATAACACCTCCCTGCTTAAAGCCTTCTGATGGTTTTGCGACACACTTAGGAAAATACCAAATTCCTCACCCTACACTACAAAGACCCTGAAAGATCCTGCCGGGAGATTTACCAAGGGCTGCTCTCCCCACCCCTGCAGCCCAGTCACCGTCACTGCACCGAAGCCAAGCCCCACCGCTCTCAGGCCGG